TGTCGCGATCGAGACGAGGGATAGGAGCATAGGACTTTTTGGGCTCGTAGCGAGGTTTCTTTCCTTTTCGCTGATCGTCAGTGGCCCTTCTGCATCAGCTCTTCTGCTTTCCCCCCGTCCAGACGTACTGCTTGAAGGGCCAGGGTAGCAACGGCGAAGTGCCGCCAATGAATTTTCAATCCGGAGGTACTTCTCCGCAAGGTTATAGAATCTGGTGAGGGAAACATCGTCCTCAGCCTGTAGTTCTTTCCACAGGTCGGTCTGTGGATGAACTCCCGCTATGATAAGGGTCCGAACAGACTCTTCGGGAGTATGAGCCACCTTGTTGAGTTCTCTGTGGAAACGGTCAATGTAAGACTAGAGGGATTCGTCCCTTTCTTGCCTTATATTGCTGAGGTAACTCAAAGGCATTGAAAACTTTCGGTTTGCTTGGAAATGCCTTAGGAACGTCACGCTCATCTGAGGCCACGAACTGATCGATCCCGCTGGGAGTGACCTGAGCCACTGTTTGGCATGAGAGGTTAAAGTCACTGCCAAACAATGGCATTTTGCTAGATCCGAGACCTGCTGAAGCTCCATCAGGTCGTTGAATTCATATAAATGATCCTGCGGATCAGCATTTCCATCGAACGCCCGCATGTCAGGCATCCTGAATCCCGGTGGGAGTGGAGCGGCTAGCACTTCGGGAGAGAAGGGAGACGTAGATGCGACCTGCCCTTGCTCATTTTGCTGAGCTCTTAGTTGGTCTAGAGCTCGTTGTAGCTCCTCAATTTGTGGTAATGGAGCCACTTGGGGATTACTTTCACCCATACGAGTTCGACCCTTGCAATTACGGTTGAGGAAAGTCTGGAGGTCGGGTTCCTCTTCGCCTCGGCCGGCGGTCCCGGCCACTTCAACATACCCTGGCTAAAGGCGTGTGATGGCAATGAATGGTGCAGGGTATTTTCACGACCTTTGCGGTGGTAAGAACCGCCCCGCGAAGTGTAGGAACCTCTCGCACGATGACGATCTGGATCATTTCGCTGGCAGTGGTAAGAATCACCCCACCCAGCGTTTTTACTAGGGTGCACCTACGACGTGGCATGGGACAGCTTGGGCTGTGTCCTTTCACCGAGTCTTAACAAGACTTGTATTCTACTTGGGACGCAGTCGGTGTTCGCTGGCCCTTTGGAGCCCGTAGGCCCCTTTTTTGCCACTTGCTTACCCTTTTGTCTACGCGCTGTAGTGCTTGCGGCATGGGCTATCTCCCTTTGCAGCGCTTTCGCCTGACCTGCAGGCATTTTTGGCAGTTGCACCACCCCAACTGACTTGGATGGCATGCTCTGGTCCAAACAATCCAACCTTCAGTTGACCGTTTTGAGAGTACTGTCAAACCTCTCCACGTAACTTCTAATGGCAGGGTCAAGTTGTGAACTTGATGGGATATCCCCTGCAGCGCCTTGCGGAACTGAGGGTATTTTGGAAGAGGTACCCCCCTGGACTTGGGGGGTTCATTCAGCACCCTGGTTGGTTTGCTCAGGTTCACGTTGGCGAGCCATTTGCTGTTGTAGGACCAGTGGGTTAGAGATTCTCCTGATGAAGGATGAACACTAAATCAGGCCCCTCCTTCTAGCGTCAAACTATTGATGCGTGATTTTTACACCAACTAAAGCATGTGTGAAATGCTAAGCTGGCCCAGAAGACACACGTGAATATAACAGATAATGAGAGTAAATGCAATGAGGCAAGCGTTTTTAAAGTGGTTCGGATGCTAAGGAAGCAAGTCCTACGTCCACTGTTATATTATTAATGATAGAGGTCAGGTCGCATGAGCTGACTAACTTACAAATGATGGTACAAGAAAGAGAAAGCTTTCGTATTATAGAGAGAATAGCTAATCAGGAGTAAAATGTGCGAATCCCTTGAATGAGAGAGGAGCTCTCAATTTATAGTGGGGTGGATTAAGGCAATCATCACTGAATCTGTGAGTTTGTGAGATTATCTGTGCAGATCCCTCTTTATGTCACATTGCCCACCTTCTATAGATATTTGCGCCATTTGGAGCAAGGATTGGATACGTGGGATCACCACAGCTCCTAGCTGGCCTGGCGCGCGCCCACTATTCTGACAGAAGCAGGCTGCAGATGTACCCATGCTCTGACTTTTTCAAGCTGACTGGACCTTACGTCAGCCTTATATTTTTCAGGCATAACAGAATTCATCACACATCTTCTTTCCACACATTTTTTTCTTTCATTTTTTTTTCTATATTTTTAAATTAAAAAGAACTTCGTTTCTTTTCTTAACAAGACTAAAATAAACATTTTTTTTTCTATTTTCATTTCTCTTCCTTTTCAAGAATAAAATATATTTTTGAATGAAAAAACTTAGTATGTTAAACAAGTATTTTTTTATTAATGTAATTGTCTTATACCATAATGTTTTTACATATAAAAAAATAAAAAAATTAGCCCTCTCGAAAAGAAAAAAAAAAATCTGATTCCGCCCTGCCTATGAACAATCAAATCTTTTGCTTATATTTTAAGCTTAATTTACATTTGAAAGCCTGCAATATGGACAAGAATTATACGTATATTACTAAAAAGGTAAATTACAGTTAAAGAAATAAGAAAATCCAGATTTAGTACACGCAAAAGATTTGCTTAGCTGCCACTAAAATTAGATAAATTTTTTACACCAAATTTTCTAACAAAAGATCATCAGGAGGTCTAGACTTATTTGTTTTATATTATAAGAGCTAAATGTTAACGTATAAGAAAGTAATTAACGAAAGTATTAGGTGTAAAATTAATTTGTCTGGACTCTTAATGAACAATATATTTAATGATATTTCTTTGTCCATTTGTATTCATTGTTGTGTTGGTGGCATGCGAACATAAATTTGCTTTCTCTATTACATTACTCAAGTCAACTGGTCTGCTATGAAAGAATTAATTAATGTTGTGAGACAAAATAAGCAAAGTCAATCCCAGTCTCACAAATAAATAATGATGTTGCTACTCTTCTTTGGCCGAAGTAATAAAAGAAAGCAATTTGCACTAATAATATTATTATTCTTTTGAAAAAGAAAAAATGAAAGTCATGTATTCCAAAATCATCTAACTTACCACTATTCTACAAATCGATTAAGCATCAAATGCAAGCTAAACGAAAATATAATAGGATTCTCATAAGTTTTTAGTACATTTTTTTAATAGCATTTTTTGAAAATATTTAAATTATTTTTAACCCTCTAGGTTTGTTAATTTAACTAGACACCCCCTACAATAAAAGTTTATAAATTAACAAAAACACTCGCACTTACCCACGTATTACCAGCAGTCAGCTACCACCGACAGAAGGTGGTCGGAATGACGCACGACCGATTAGATCTAGCCAGTCGTGCGCTGATCTGACCTTTGTTGGCAATATCTACTGGATCTAGCTGGAAACGGCCAAATCTACAGCCACAGATTTGGCCAATGACAACCAAATCTAGTAGACGTTGATGGTCAAACGACGGCCATGATATATGGCTGTCAATGACGGCCAAGATATTGCCGTCAATGACGACCAAATCTGGTTGGTCATAGATTTGGCCTTTTTCGACCAGATTCACCTTGGATCTAGTCGACGACAGTCAGATCTGGTCATCGTTGATGACCATAACGGCCAAACGATGGCCAAGATATATGGCCATCGTTTGGCCATCAACAGCGCCAAGATATGGTCGTCAACAACTAGATCTTTGACCAAAAATTGACAGATCGGCACACGACCGGATGGATTCAGTCGATCATGCGTCGTTACAGTGTTGACGGCTAGTGGTGGGAGTAGCGGCGGCTGCTGGCAAGTGATAATGGCTTGGGTGGGTGGGGGTGTTTTTGTTAATTTTAAAACTTTTATTAAAAAAAAAAAGTAATTGCTAATATTTTTAGTTGAGTAGGATAGGATTAGATTTGGAAGAATATTAAAACAAATATATTTTTGAGTTTTTAAGATAAGATAGTGGAATATGATAGGGGAACAAAGTGTGCCAAATGGACACATTTTTTTAGTTTTCTAATCTTATACTAGTTTTTAGGATTCCATCCAAAAACTCATTTGAAAAATATTTGAACTTATTTTGACCAAACTAATATACTTTTATACGATCATTTGTATAAAACACGTTTTCAAATATTAATATATTAATAGGTAAAACAATTTTTTCTTTGAATTTAACAACAATCAAATAATTGAATCCCTAATGAGGGTTTCTGGTTAATTTCTCACCCCTCAGTAAATGGTCCCGTTTGGATTGAGAGATTCTAAATGAAAGATTTCGTTAAATCCATGAATTTGGTAAAATCTTTTAAAAAAACAAAAAAAGTTGAAATCCATGGATTTTGGAAAATCCACCACACTTTAGAATCCTTCATTTTTTTGGGTTTTAAAATCTCACCTGGTAGGTTGGATTTTGTCAAATCCAACAGTTTTAATAAAATAAGGGATTTTGTTAATATTTTAATTTTTCAATACTATCCTTATTAATAATTTAATATCTCAATAATTACCATTTACCCTAATTAAAAGAAATATATTCAACTATTGAAGTTACCATAAATGAAGATAGTTGATAATATATTATATTAACTTGAAATTCTTTTTTTTTTTTTTTTACCAAATCACAAAAAATCATTTAATATAATTGGACTTCTCTATCAAATATAATTTAACTTATATTTAATTAGATGAAAGTTGAATTTTGGTTGGTTTTGGATATTAAGGGTAAAGTTGAAAATTTATCAAATCTATAGATTGTATTCATCTAACCAAACATGAGTGTACAAAAATTTGATTTTATATTTAAACTTAACAATGAAATTTGTCAATAAATGGATTTTCAATCCATCGATTGTAAAAAATCTATGGATTTTAAAATCCCTTAATCCAATACTCTAGAGGTTAGTAACTTTTACCCTTATCCAAACGACTAGTGTTTAGGTATAATAAGCACACAAGAGCCCAATTGTTTGTTAATGGCGCATTCAAGCAAATCACCTTCAGCTTTAGTTCTCCTCGACAAACATTCATTTGAAATAGATGTTGAAGAAGATGAACCAGATCATTTATCTTCTTCCCACCATCATATCATCGACATCCACCCTTCAACAATATCTTACCCTTTTGTTCTTTCATTCAACAACTTATCATACAAAGTCAAAACTAATCCTAAATTAGCTCTTCGATTTTTCGGAAAAGCAGGCCAGTTTTGTTCACAAGATCAGATAAAGACCAAAGTTTTACTAGATAACATTACGGGGGAAGCACGAGATGGAGAAATTATGGCAATTATGGGTGCTAGTGGAGCTGGGAAATCAACTTTGCTTGACGCTCTTGCAGGTCGCATAGAGAGGGAGAGCTTGAAAGGATCCGTGAGTTTGAATGGCGAATCGCTTCTCGAATCGAAGTTTTTTAAGGTAATATCAGCTTATGTTATGCAAGATGACCTTTTGTTTCCTATGTTAACAGTTGAAGAAACGCTCATGTTCTCGGCTGAGTTTAGGCTTCACCGTTCAGTGACCAAGGCGAAGAAACGCGCCAGAGTTCAAGCTCTGATTGATCAACTAGGCCTTCGAAGTGCGGCGAAAACTATTATCGGTGATGAACAACATCGAGGCATCTCAGGAGGCGAACGCAGGCGCGTTTCGATTGGAATTGATATAGTTCATGATCCAATCCTCTTGTTCCTCGATGAACCCACATCAGGACTTGATTCCACAAGCGCGTTTATGGTTGTCAAGGTCTTGCAACGAATTGCCAAGAGTGGAAGCATTGTGATTATGTCCCTCCATCAACCAAGTTACAGAATTTTAGGCTTATTAGACCAAGTCTTCTTTCTCTCAAAAGGAGAGACTATGTACAATGGGAAACCAGCTTGTCTTTCACCATTCTTTGCAGAGTTCGGGCGTCCGATTCCTGAAAACGAGAATCAAACTGAGTTTGCTCTTGATTTGATTCGCGAACTTGAAGCGTCTCCTGGAGGGATCAGTAGCTTAGCTGAATTCAATAAGTCATGGCAGGCGAAGAAGATTCGCGACGAAGTCCACAATCAACAAAATGTTTCACTTGAAGATGCAATCAAAGAAAGCATTGCGAGAGGAAAACTGGTATCAGCCTCAAATGGTACAAACATAAAAAATTCGTCAGTTCAAAAATTCGCAAATCCATTTTGGATTGAGGTGATTGTTATTGCAAAACGATTGCTTTTAAATTCAAGAAGAATGCCAGAGTTATTTGTAATTCGATTAGGTACAGTTCTCGTTACCGGACTTATCTTGGCAACCCTTTATTGGCAACTCAGTGATTCTCCAAAAGGCACACGAGGAAGATTAGGGTTCTTTGTATTTGCCATGAACACCATTTTCTACATATGTGCACGAGAAATCCCAGCTTTTCTTCATGAGCGATTTATTTTCATAAGGGAAATTTCTTACAACACCTATCGCCACTCATCTTATTTACTTGCTCACTCTTTAGTCTCTATTCCTCCTTTGATCACTCTATCTCTTGCCTTATCGTTAACAACTTTCTGGGCTGTTGGTCTGGCTGGTGGGTTCTCCGGATTCTTATTCTTCTTGGTCATAACTTTTGCCTCATTTTGGACTGGAAGTTCATTTATGGCATTCATTTCAGGACTCGTTTCGCATGTATTAATAGGATTTACAGTTGCGGTATCCGTTTTAGGTTATTGTCTTCTGTTTAGTGGATTCTACATTTCTCGAGAACAAATTCCTTCATATTGGATTTGGTTTCATTACCTTTCTTTAGTGAAGTATCCATATCAAGGAGTTGTGCAAAATGAATATGGTGATGAAACTAAGTGCTTTGTAAGAGGAGTGCAATTTTTTGATAATACACCATACATGAAATTCTCCGACTCCATGAAGTTGAAGCTATTAGAAAGCATGAGCAATGTGGTTGGAACCAATATAACAAGCTCAACTTGTCTTTCTACTGGTGCTGAAGTACTTGAAACGCTTGAGGTGTCAGATGTTAGCAAATGGAATTGCTTGTGGATTACTTTAGCTTTTGGATTACTCTTTAGGGTTTTGTTTTACTTCACTTTGTTGCTTGGGAGCAAGAATAAGAGGAAGTGAATATAATGGTTCTGAGGTGATGAGATTGGATTTAGTTTCATGAATATAAGATGCATCCCTTGCGTTTAATTTATTACAGAGGATTTTGAAGTATTAAGTTTGTATTTAGTGTAAAATTTTAAAGATTAAATTAATCTTGTTGCAACTATTAATTTATTTTGTTTGTATGAGTATTGTATCATTCTTCATTCACATGTTTTGAATAAAGGGGTTCCAAATAATTTTGAATTAAAATCCTTTCTTGATCTGAACTCTTCTAAGCTTTTAAAGATTTCATAAAACCTAAACATTAGTGATAATGTATGATTCTGATTTTTTTTTTCCTTTTAATAAATTTTATATCAACAACCAATCATATACTTGTATTTTATTCAAGTAATTAAAAACCGGATCCTGATCTACTTTAGAATTTAGTTTCAATCATATTTTCTTTTTAACTTAGCTGAAGATAGTTTAATTTTGGTACATACTCATATATTCAATGCTTTGTTTCTTCATATATATCTCAAAAATGTATTCTTTTTTTTATCTTATTACCTACAACTCATACTATAAAAAGAAAAAAGTTATTGTTATTATGAGTATTGAATTCTAAAATAAATAAATATATGGCATGATATTTATTATTATTAGAGGTACAAGCTAGTAAGTTAAATGATACTATATATAATAGAATTAGACAATTTTTTTTTTTTTTTTTTTTTGTGGTAACTAAATAATATCATTAAAAAAGAGAAAGAATATAAGAGATGTCATAAAAAAAACCAATCATCCTATCTCATGACAGTCCCTAAGATAAATATAAAAACACAAACTTTATAGACTGAGAATCTAATCTCCTCTTGTTTACCAATCTTAAGCACGCGAATGATAGAAAACAAGAGGAGAGGAGTAAGGAAAGGAATACAAAGACAAAGACATCTTACCACAAGCCATGCGTTGGGATAGGATTCAAAAAAACCTAAACAAAATTAAGAACAACAATAAGCCTTGAGTTAGAAAAACTCATGTTCGTCATATGTTGGCTTTGAAGATAGTCATAGGAAATCTGCAAATCTCCACAAGTCCATGGAAGATTTCATTTTATTGAAGTTCATAGCTCTATCTCTCACCATGTTACGAATGTGGCCGTGACTATTAGACAATTCATTAATATCAATAAGTGACTAATAGATAATAAGTGCACTCTGCACGTGGTTCATTATTAATTGACATATTATATATCGTAAAGCTTAGATTGTGTAAACATCATTCCACAATATTACACTTTACGTAAAATTAGATTTTTATTTATATAAGTTTACAACACGTTTAGGGAGTTAGAAGTTGGTGCTAAAGAGAATTTTTTATTTTATTTCTTTAATTTATTATCCTTCCTAATAATTTACTTAATATCTTTTATAAAAGATATCACATAAATATAAAAACGTGACTATAATTAAATGGAATTCTAAACTAAATAAATATATGGCATGATATTTATTATTATTAGACGTGCAAACTAGTAATTTAAATGATAATATATATATATATATATATATATATATAATTAGACAACTCATTAAAATCAATAAATGACCAATCGATCTATTTATGTAATATTAATTAAGTGCATTGTGCACGTGGTTCATTATTAATTGAAATATCATATATCGTAAAGTTTAGATTGTGTAAAACATCATTCCACAATCCCTTTTTTTTTTTTTTTTGGTAAGTAAACTTTTCATAAAAAGGGAGAAAAAATGTACAATAGACCTAAAAACAGGTCAACCTCTCTCAAGACAAGCCTTAGGTTAGAAGCAAAAGAATGATATTATCAAAACAACTCCTAATCTTCTTTTTTTTCCATTTCCCTTGTCAAATAAATAGAACCAAGCGGAGATTAAAGAATACAAAGAAACGCACCTACCACAGGACATGCCCTGGGTTACGTTCATTAGTATCCTAAAAACAAAAACCTCCCCCAACTCTTCACAATACATTGCATACCAAAGGGCAGTAACCTTCGAGGCTATACAATCCATCCACCCCCACCCCCACCCCCAAAAGTCAAACCAACAAGAACATCCGGATCAAAGAATCAACCCAAGGAAAAATGCAAAACAAACCCCCCCACCCCCCCAATGAAGCCAAACCTCCTCAAGAGCAAGATACCGAGAACCCTCTCCAAACCACACATCATTCTACAATCTTACACTTTACGTAAAATTATATTTTTATTTAAATAAGTTTACAACACGTTTAGGGAGTTGGAAGTTGGTGCTCAAGATAATTTTTTTATTTTACTTTAATTTATTATCCTTCCTAATACAGAGAGTAAAATTACAAAAAATAATTTGCTTAATGTTTGTTTTAAAATATGTACATAAATATAAAAATGTGAGTTAATAATTAAATGGAGTATTTGAAATAAATTCTTATAAACTAATAGCCGAGTTGATATACACATTTCAATCATATTTACACGAGGTATTCCCAATACCAAATTTATTGTACTGGTATTTGGGAAGTTTCCCATTAAAATTCTTAATTGGAGTTATGTTGAATTTTCCAGGAAGTTTCATTGCCGTGTTATAGAAAGAAGAAAGGAACCTTTTCGACTTACAAATATGAAATATCCATGTCTTTAACGTCACTCCATCCCATTCTTTTATGTGAGAAGCTAGTGACGAATGTTGGGTTTACTTGTAATTTTGGAAAATTGCTGTAAGTGCTTCAAAGATAAAAGTATCAAGGTTTTATTTAAAGAAGAAATTAAGCATAAAACAATATGAATTAACTTCATTGTCAAACATAACCATAAAAATAAATACCATGGTTTTTTTGTTAATGAAAAATGTTAAGGAGTTGTTTTCTAGCGTTATACAACATGATCTAACATTATATGGTGCGTTTGGTTTATTATTTTGGATAGAATTTTGGGGATGGTATTAGATAGTTGGATAGGGTTATTATTACGAGGTAAAATTTAAAATTTACAGAAAAAAAAAACCCCCTAGATTTACTAATTTAATTAAATACCCCAATATATAAAATCTTTGTAAAATGAAAAAAACAACCCCACCCACCTACAACGCCAGATTCCCGCCACCACCGCTGAAATCTAGTAGGAATCTGGCGTTACGACTCAGATTGGTCGGATCTGGCCGCACATGCGTCGATCTGGCCTTTTTCGGCCAGATCTAGCCGGAAAAGGCCAGATCGGCGACTTACCGACCAATTTCAATGGTTTGTAGGCCGTTATGACAAATTCCGGCTACCACTGACGATGGTTGCCGGAATCTGACAACTATGGGTGAGTGGGGGTGCTTTTGTTAATTTTTAAACTTTTTTTCCTAGGGGTATTTAATGAAATTAATAAACTTAAGAGATCTAAAAGTAATTAAAAAATATAATAATATTTCCCAAATAATTAAACAAACAAATATTTTGGGAATAAGATTGGGAATATACAGTAGCGGATCCAGAAATTTCTGCTAAGCTGGGCCAAAGTAAAAATTAATTATACATTAATACTTTTGTCCATTAATATTTTTGTTAGGGTGGGTCAAAATATATAAATTATACATATTAATATTTAAAAAATAAAAATTGAGGATGGGCCAAAAAGTGGTTGGACTTGGATCCGCCTCTGGGAATATACATAGGAATAATAAATCAAACGCAACAATAATATCTTCATTAGGAGTATTTAAGTATTTGGCGGACAAAAAACTAAACTAAAAGGATACATGTTTTTTTTTTTTTTCCTTGATGGGAGGACAATTAACGATCTGAAGGTCTTAAAATTAACTTGGTTTGGCAAAATTATATACTTAAATACTCTTGTAGGCTTTTAATTGTTTCAAAAAAGACAATCATATCCTCTTACAAATATGAAGTATCATATTTATCCTTTGACTTTAAAAAATTTATTAAAAAAACTAAAAATCTGAACAATTAAAAATTAAAATCTGAAATTAAAAAAAATATATATATATATATATGAAAAATTGAAAAATAAAACAAATTAAAAAAAACCTGTTGGAAACCAGCAAGTGTTGGTGGCCTAGTTAGCCGAGATCTGGCCGCCGACTAGGCCACCGACATCTGCCAGTTTCTGGCCACTTTGGCTTGGTCACCCTTGCTATGTTCTCATCTGCAAAGATCTCATGTGACCTAATGTGATTCTGGCAAGATGGGTCTCACCAGGAGCGATCTGGCCTGAATTGCACCTCACTAGGTGCGTTTTGGCCCCCTTTTTTTTCTGTTTTTTGACTTTGGTTTTTCAATTTCGATTTTTTAATTTTTTGGAAGTTTTATTTGTTTACCATTTTTCGGTTTTTCTTTTTTCTAAAATTATATTTTATTTAATTTTCTGATAAATTAATTTTAATATTTAATTTTTTTTTTCATATTGGTTAGTGAATTTTTTTGGATTTTTTATTTTTCAAAATTTTCAGACTTCTATTTTTATTTCAAATCAAAATATATTTTAGAATTTTAAGTTCTTTGTCCATTTTTTTTATTTTCCACTTGTCACATATTATTGGATTTAATAAACCTAATTATTTAATATTATTGAATTTAAACAACTGATATAAAGACTTAATAGCCCAATCAGTTAACTTTAACACTTTTAAATCGTTAACTATCCTCTCATTGAGGAAAAAAGATATGACCCATTTTTATTAAGTACCAATACATATGTCTTTATCTATATAGATGAAGATTATAGTAATATAGTTTTTTTTTTTTTTTCTATATTTTGTTATTACTTTACAACTATGATTAAAAATATTTAGATATGACATGGCTCGTATTGAAACAATTTCGTTTCATACTGCATTCATATTGTGTCCGTGTCAAATTCTCTAAACAATTCTAGCCCTTTAGCTAAGTTTTATCTCTTTTTTGTTGAAACTGGTGAAAGAAATTAGATGGTGGGCTTGAACATGAGTACTAATACATGAGGGGGTTTATCTATTTTGGCAAAACTAGGGGCTTAACGTGTGATCTTAAATATTTTTTTTATATCAAGATAATAAAAAAAAAAAAAGGACCGAGTCATAGTATTAACTTATGAACTAATACTTATACCCTAAGAAATGATATTTTTGTATACTCAACCGTTTAGCCTAAAAAAAATGGTTAAAACCCATAAAGCCCAATCCAATATAAGCCTTTAGCCTAACCAAACCCTTAAAGCCCAATCAATCTAG